CATCTCCCATTCAATTAAGAAATTTTTTAATACCATTGGATAGGGACCCTCATACGACTTAAGACTATCATATGATGTCACAGTCTTTTCAGGTATATTAACCACTGTCAATATCCAATGACTCTCATATACATTCATGGGCACAAAAAGTAATTTTATTGTGTGAATATCTTTTTTTATCCATCTTCTTACAGCTGGATAACCTCCTCGAAGATACGCTACAATAAAATCAGTGACAACTGCATAAACTTCACCTTCTGACCGTTTTACTATCATTTTAATGTACTCATTAATTGTGTCTGAAGTATACCATGATGTGGGCGATTTAAATGAAGGTGCATTATACTGATCAAGAGATTTTGTGTTCTGATCTTGCATTACTTCTGCAAGTGTAACCATATTTAAAAATTTTTCATAAAATTAATAAAAGACTTTATTGAACAGTTTACTATTATTTAGGTTTATTTAAGGTTTTGGAATTTGAAATTAAACACGTATAATTACTTTTGTTTAAAACGTCCATGGACCCCCTTAATGACACGCCTCTGCAGAAGTTATATTAATTTAACTCGTATTATTATAATTAATTATGTTTAATAAATAATCTTTTTTTATTTAATTTTACATAAAATAAATAGATTAAATAACTAATTACCTTTTTCTTTCTCTGATACTTCTATTACTTCAATAGTGGATAGAGCAAGTAAATTTACGTCATTCGGCGTATTTAAGGTCAAAGAATTCGAACTAACTTTTGTCTCTAAAATAATTTATGTTTTAATATATTACATATTTTTTTCAAAAATCAAAACGTTTATTATATTATTTNAAAAATATTACATATTTGTTTCAAAAATCAAAACTTCATATTTTTTAAAAATGAATTATATTTTAAAAGTTGTATACTTTTTATGACTTTTTCATCTTCTTCGGATGAATTTCTTTTTAAATTTGTTCGAGCAGTAGTATTAGAAGATATCTTAAAAAGTTGTTTTTTTATTTCGGATTTTTTGCGTTCCAAATTTTTCTTATGAAAACTCTTAACGGATCATAAAAATATATT